ACACACACACACACACACACACACACACACACACACACACACACACCCTATATTGGCCTCTCCCATATACACAAACACACATACACACAGCCTGTGCCAAGCCTCTCCCATGTGTACACAACCCACCCCTCTCCCCCCACAGCACCTCTGACATCCCAGGCATTCAACACCATTCACATCTCCTGTGGCACTTGCAAGTCATAGGAACACTCGCCTAGACTCGGGGTGGCCTAGGGAACAGGCAGACAAGTTTCTTGCTGCTAAGGAGCTTACTTCTAAAGCAGGAGAAAATTAACTGAAGGAGTCAGAAGAGCCCTGAAGCGTAAAGAAGAGCAGGGCAGGGCAGAACACTAGCCTGGGCTCCGAGCCAGGCATTTGGGGACTGCTGGGTTGATTTGTCTAAGGAGGGGAACCTTCAGCTGGGGCCTGATGGACCAGGCAGGCCCTGGGAAAGGCAAAGGAGCTGGGGCGGGCTGGGCTCTGGGGCCTGCACGTCCTGGTCAAATCCAGGACTGGATTTGAAGGTGGAGGGTCTGGAATCTAGGGGTTCAGAGAGGTCAGGTGGAGGGGAGTGGATGGGCTGAGGAACCATCACCTGAGATCTTGGGCCAGTGTCAAGAATGCATGCTGGTTTGCTCTACCGCTGAGTGTAGCTCCAGCCCAGGAATGAGGAGTTGAGCAGTGGGTGCAGGACAGATGAGGACATTTTGGTTGGGATGGAGACAGGTGGGCAAATCAAAGGGAGACTTGGGAGGGACTGGGTGGGGAATGCCGTGGGGCTGGGTGGGGAGCTCTGGCACTCCCTGCTTGATGCTGTATGGCTCTGGACAACCGTGTGGAATTAGGGGGGCAGCTGGATCTGCACCTAGCCTGGGGATAGTGTCACTAAGTCTCACTCCAAGACCACTCAAGTAAGCGCAGCCTTCCCCAGCTTCTCACATGTTCTCATTCATGTCTTCACACCAACCCACCCTCAGACAGACTTTCTCCAAGAAGGTCCAAGTGCCGTAGACACAGACAAGTCTTGTTATCTCTTGACAAAGAGGGTATAGAGCAGACCTGCTGAGGCAGCAGTCTGAAAAGAACAGCGGTGAGGGCAGTTTGACCACATGGCTCCGAATACTTCACTCTCTCCCTAGTGTATGCACACCAGGAGATTGCATGGAGCAGGAAGCTGTGTGACTGCTGGGCTGGGACACCAGGACACTAGGACCCTGAGCCTCCGGGTGAGTCTGACTAACTGGGCATGGTGGCACACACCTGTAACCCTGGCAATTGGAAAACCAAAGTAGGAAAATGGAGGGCAGTTTAGGCTACTTGTCTTATGAGCTGACAATGACAAAGACAAAGTCCAGCTGTCAGCCATGCTGTGAGGAAGCACACGCTAACAACAGTGACAGGAAAATGGCCTCAATATATAGTCCTAGCTGGCGGGGACGGGGGTCATCTTGAAGCCAGGCTCTGTGTGATGATCCCTGCCCCCAGGAGCTAGCCCAGGCCTTAGACACTATGAAGCAGTGACAGTTGAAATTCAAGGCCTCCAAATCCCATGCACAACTATAAGAAATGCTTGGTTAATCTTCAAGACTTTCAATCAGATTGTACAGTAAGAATAACTGAAAACTGAAATTATGGAATGAAATTACTTTTGATAATCATTTAACATTGTTGGTGTTTTATTTCTGTGTTAACCCTACCATAGCCTAAGGAGGTAGAAATTACTACAATCTACCCCCATTTTGGGGACAAGAAAATTGAGGCCAAGGGAGATGGCACATTTGCTTCAGTCAAGCCTGGATACTTTGGCAATGCTCTGGCCTAAATAACCGACAGAATTGGCTTACAGGAGGGAAGGTTTAGTTTGACTCATGGTTTTAGAGGGATTTCGATTCATCCCAGCAGGAAAGGCATTGCGGAGTAAATACTGGCAAAAACCTGTGTCAGAGGCATTGTCATATCATGACAGACAGGAAGCAGAGAACTCTGGGCCAAAATGAACGGTGGGAATAACCTTCAAAGGCCTCTAACAAACCACTTCCACCAGTCAGCTCCATCTCTACTCTCCACAGCCTCCAAAACAACCGGCAAGCTAAACCTTCAGACTCGCAGGAGCCTGTGGGGGCATCTGGGATTCAAACCATAGCAGCGAGTTACTGGGAAATGGGGTATCCTGGTGTGTCACTGCCCCACTATATTGCCATTCTGCATGGCCTGACTCTTGGCCAGTCCCCTGTGGTGGCTCTAACCTTCCTCTTCAAAACTGTCACCATCCAGTTCAGCATGGGCTGCTCTGCCTCTGTGGTATCATCCGTAGAAGTTGTGTGACTGGGATGGCCTCCATGCATTTGGCTTTCGTGGCTTCCGTGGCGCAGTGGGGATGGGGCATGCCTGCCACCATGTCCGTCTCTTCCAGAAAACTGCGGCCTCCCTCCTCATTTGCTCCTCTCAAGGAGGAAGCGCCTTTCTCAAATGCATCCCAATGGTCCCTGCCCACTGGTATTCAAGTCCTAGGGCCATCCACTTCCCTCACTTCCCTGCCAGTAGTGACAGAGACCTTGTGACAGGCTTCTAACAAATAGAAGATAGACAATCTGCCATTTACAATCTGGTTTTACGAGGCGGCACTGTCAGCCTTACCCTTGGTACCCTGGCCACTTAACCATTCGATCTGACCAAGCCACTCGCTACAGTGTGAGGTGCCCTGTGGAAGCCCCCTTCCCCCCAACCTGGTCCTCCAGGGCAAAGCTCTACCGAATCAGTGCTGATGCCTCCAGGCACTAACAGACGGGAAACTGAGGGCCTTAGATCAGCTGCCTGTGAAGAACTGAACCTCAGCCAAGACCGCAGTGTGCCACTTCCTTAGCTCTGCCCGCCTGGCAAGTCTGCTTTGCTTTCAGCCTTTGCCATGCATTAAATACCATAAGGGAATTAATTTTGCTTTAAGTCATTAGGTTTGCAGTAATTTGTTGTGGAATGACAGATAGATAGTGCATATTCATCACCATCAATTACCTTGATAGAAAAAAGGAGAAAGTCACCTAAAAGGAAAAAAAGTGTGAACCAGACTGTACAGACACAAGTAACTGGGATGAGAGGATGGGGGCTTATTTGCCTTTCTAAGACTTGGCTACAATGTGCTGGAAAGATGGCTCAGAGGTTAAGAGCACTGGCTGCTCTTCCAAAGGTCCTGAGTTCAATTTCCAGCAGCCACATGGTGGCTCACAACCATCTATAATGAGATCTGGTGCCCTCTTCTGGGGTGCAGGTGTACATGCAGACAGAACTCTGTATACATAATAAATAAATAATTAAAAAAAAAAAGACTCCACTATATCAGTCACACAAACCTGTGACCTTGGACACCCTAAGGATCTGATTTATTTATTCTGCCACCCCCACAAAAATGAAACCACATGAATGGAAACTTTTTAGAAGTCTCTTGTATTTTATTCTTTGCTCCAGCATGAGGTTCAGAATAAAACCTGAATGGGCTCTGCCCTGTACACAGCCAATGATCAGTGACAGCTGTTGAGTGTGTTTGCTTTCCTTGTGGTCCTCTAAGTACCAGCTTAGAAAATGTCCTGATGTAGACCCATAGGAAAACTGTAAACAAAATGAGACAGGCAGAGAGACCCAACCCTCCCCAGGACACTGAGGCAGGAGCTAAGTACCATTAAGCATTGTTAACAACTTCTCAATGTTTAGAGACTGTTAGTTCTAATAACTGTTAGTTTTAACAGTCTAAATTTCTTTTCTAAGTACTCTCTTAATAGGTTATTTTGTTTGTTTTTTGTTTTCTAAAGAGTAAAACCGTCTAGAGCAAGACTATTCAGGCCTGTGAGCAGCAGCAGACAGGCCCCTCCCTCAGACCTTAAAGCCTGGCAGGGGAGCCATTAACTGAGAAGTTACTTCTCTGGCAAGTGACTGGATTACTCTGATGGTGGGCTGGCTGTTTTGGATACCTATGCTCACTCTGAGGAAACTGTAGCCTTAAGGATCAGTGTGGCTGAAGCCAGAATTCCTGCCCCCCAGGAGGCCTTGTTCTAATCAGGTCTGCTCCAGACATCCTGCAATGGCCGCCAAAGGCAGAACCTAGATATCAGTGTTCTCTCTCAAAATGGAATGGAGAGCCCTTCCTCCTTAGTCCAGAATTTCAGAGGTGGTGAGGAAGAGACTGGGAGATGACAAAGGCCAGTGGAAGGATGGAAGAGCTGGGATCAGAGACTACGGGCCTGTCTCTGGAAGAGTTCCTGGGAGCTGCCAAATCCTGAGGAAAAGGGCTCCAGCATCCAAAGCCCCAAGCTAACATTACTTGCTGTAAACGCTGAGCACTGACACCTGAGGCTCGGGTAGCCACAGCCACTATGGGAGCTGAGTGTCCTGACACCTGGTGGTAAGAATAAATATGCTTTCCCAGTGAGAAATCACTCCAAGCACTTGAGAGATTAATAAAGGAAAAACCCTTTAATAATAGCACTCACTAATCCTGGCTAACATACAAAAGGAAACCAGCCCCAAACAGGAAAATTTGCTGGTGTATATAGGCCTTGGGCATACACTATCATCCTTAAATCTCTTTTAAGTCCTGGCCTCAAGCCACACTCCTAATGATTTAAACAAGATGACAAAGCAATTTCCTAAATTCGCCAGAGTTGCTCATTCAAATATTTTTTTTTCCATAGGAGAACCTGGGTTTGACAGCAGACTGAAG